AGAGCAAGGCTTCCGACAAATTCGAGAAACACCAGGAACGATAGAGAGAGAGTAACCAGATGAATGACAAGACGCGTGCAGACTTGTCATCAAATGCAAGCTGGTCATTTCGAGTATTTTTTGCAAAAGTTTTATTAAAACAGAAAATTCATTACATCTCATAAACGAAGGGGACAGATAGGACATATATTTATATGACTTTTTTTTATTCATTATTAGGCGTACAATCAACTCTCTCGAAGTGGTTCCCACAAATTACGGAACACCCTGTATAATAACGTAATAGTATAATGGCTGAACAGAGACGCGTAGAGTGAAAGCTATAATAAGAACACAAGTATTTCAGAAGAAAATCCTAAAACTAGACTTCTCATTGCTTCGTACGAAAATGACAGAGATCATTTTTTTCGGAGAACTAAAAGCATTGCATGTATCATTAACTCTTATGTACTGCAGTTGCTTCAGAAAACTCGCAACGCACGATGTTGGAAAGACGTAAGGTGACGCGATAGAAAGACGCAAACTATTTTCAAAAAAATTTCATGCTAACTACCATTTCGAGAGCAGGACGACTGCGTCATTTTCACTTGAAGTGATACTACCGTTTACTTCGCTATAATAAATTGCTAGATCGCGTAGATGATGTAAAAAAAAAAAAGAAATAGTTTCTGAGAGCAAAGAGTTAAAGATACTACGATCCAAAACGTTACGTTATACGAAAATTTCTTCTGTCGTTAACAAGTTTACAACTAGAGACCTTTTACTATTATTTCCTCACTGTACGAATAGTTTAGCCCGGCATACTACTGTATGTATACGTCGTCGTCGTTACGTTCGATTTGGACGGCGATCAAGGTGACGAGCAAAGGGCAGAAGAACGAACGTGACGTTCGATCTGCGTGTTAATCGCTCGAACGATCTACATTCACACGTACGTATGTATACCACCTAGATGTTTCGTGGCGAACGAATCGCTCGAGTCGAAGAAAAAGCCTGCAAGTCTGCAGGCCGTAATTTCGTTGTGCTTTCGTTTCGTAATGACGATCAGTATCATTAATTCACGATAGATGTTACGGTAGAGTTCATCTTCAATTTGCTCTACTGCAGGTTTGTTTCATTTAAAATCGCTATCACTGTACAGAGCGAGCCAAACATCACTCTCTGAGCCTGTAATTCTTTTATTAATTTGCGAGCAAATCTGAAAGGAATAATCGTTGTGAAGAAAAAATCGTGCTTGAAATTAAATACAATTCAATGAACGAAATGAAGAAAAAATCGTGCTTGAAATTAAATACAATTTAAAATTAGTGAAATTAGTTTTCCCTTATATATTTGATGTCTTGAAAAATATTCTTTTGACCTACCCTACTATACCATTTTGTTGTGTAGTCGATATATATTATATGTTGTATTATATATTGTGGTCAATGTGTACTTATATTCCAGTCAAACTTCCAAAAACGGAAATTTCGAAGAATTTTCTTTCGAAAGTTTCTCGAAAGTTTCTCTAAAAAAAAAAAAGAAAAAAATTTCCCTCAAGTTTCTCTAAAATTACTCTAAAGCATTTTCAAAAAGTTTCTCTAAAGTTTCTCTAAACTAACGTAGTCCTCTATAGGAAAAATGGCGGACGAGTCGCGTTGTTCGATCTTCGAGATGTTCTCGATCAGCTCGGTTGCAAGAGAGACAGAGAAAGAGAACAAGAAAATAGAAAAGAAGAAAGAAGGAAATTCGTTGGTGAATCGTACGATCGACTGGTCGATTATTGAGAAAATGTGCGCAGTAACAGACGGGGCAGCGCGGCGTAGTCGCGGCGGCGTCCGGGTGACGCCACGAAACTCTTGCCAAGGGTTAATGAACAAGATATGTCTGTTGTCCGACGATTTCAAAATGTCAGATCACCACTACGACAACCACATGCAATTGTCAAAATTGTGCTGGCAAGATTACAATCGAACGAGGCTTACGGCGACCAACG